ACGAAAGTTTCATTCGTAATGTTTGTCATATCTGCACTGATTGTAATTTTGCCAAATATGCTTATTAAAGCTGCATGAGGGTATATGTTACCATACCTAGCAAGCATGCCCGTGGACCCGTCGTCTATTGCTGTTATTTGAATAAAAATGTAAAACTGCATCATTTATACTTTGTTCTCTATTTTACGTGTTATTGTTGACGGGTCAGTCTCAACAGGCGACAGATATTATGCTATATTCCTCGACGGGTCGTAAAGTCATAATATGTAGGCTACGCAGCAAAAGTAGAGAAAAAAGCAAATGCAAAAAAAATAAAAACTAGAACTGTTCTAATAACAGTACTGATGCAGGGCGTGTTACAACATTCAGGTACATACGAAGATGGTCTATTGCAATTACATTGATTTAAATACTTTTCTGAATCTCTGTATTCTGTATATTCACTAGGAATAAAATAATGTTTGTCAATTAATAAAGACCAAGTTTGATGAAATCCGGATAAGAAATAAGAAATTTGGTAATGCACATGCGCACAACAAAATTTCAATACTTCCATTAAATTAAAAATTGGATTATACACATACATACCAAGTTTTATGAAAATCGGATAAGAAATAAGAAAGTTGGTAATGCACATGCGCACAACAAGAATTCAATATTTCCATCAAATTTATAATTGGGTTATACACATACATACCAAGTTTGATGAAATTCGGACAAGAAATAAGAATGTTGGTAATGCGGATGCGCACAACAAAAATTCAATATTTCCATAAAATTCAGAATTGAATTATACACAAACATACCAAGTTTTATGAAATTCGGACAAGAAATAAGAAAGCTGGTAATGCGCATGCGCACAACAAAAATTCAATATTTCCATTAAATTCAGAATTAGATTATAAATAAAAAAGGTAACGGTTTTAAAATTATTGGATGAAAATATCTATGATAATTGCTCAAAGTCCTAAAACATACTTTGGTTCAGATATACAAAAAACATTAGTTTCACTTCCGGGATTTCCATGGGCAAAATATACGGAGAAAAACATCTTCTAAGTCATAATTACACTGGTCCAGGTACAAGGTTAGATCTACGATTAGACGAAAACGATAGACCAAAACCAGGTGAAGAACCCGTCAATAGAGTTGATGCTGCTGCACTTAAACATGATATTTTATACAAAAATAAAGATATAACATCCCGACACGAAGCTGACAAACAAATGTTAATCGAACTTGAAAAAATTCCAAATCCAACATTTAAAGAGAAAATACAAAGAGCACTAATCATTAAACTCTTGAAAGCAAAGATGAAACTGGGTATTGGAATAGCAGATGAAATACACAAAGAATTTAGGAAAAACAAACATTTTTTAAAACTCAAAGTGTTTGATAAAGATGAAATATGGTCAGCTGATTTAATTAATATGCCTGTTGAAAGAGGATATAAATATTGTTTAACCATTATAGATTTGTACACAAGATATACTTGGGTTATTCCTCTCAAAAACAAAAAAAGGTTTATCAGTCAAACACGCATTTGAAACAATAATGAAACAATCCGACAGATGACCGCAAAAGTTATGGGTAGATAAAGGGAGCGAATTTTATAACAAATGAAATCTCTAGGATTTGAAATATACAGCACGCATAACGAGGGTAAGGCTGTAGTTATTGAGAGATATAATAGAATAAATTATTCAAAAAGTTAACGGAATTGAAATCTCAAAAATGGCTTAAAATATTTCCAGAGGTTGTAGATGAATACAATAACAAAATTCATTCATCTATAGGTGTCACACCAACACAAGCCACAAATAATCAAAATATTATAAAGTCAATTAACGCACAACATACCTACGAAAATGAGATAAATAATATAAATATCAAACCCAGATTGATCGAGTTCGTATTGTCAAATATAAGAGCAAATTCGAAAAAGGCTACGTTTTGGATTTTGGACCAACGAAATATTTATCGTAGATAAAGTAAATAGTACATCACCTCGAACACATGAATTAATCGATCAAGACAAAGAACACATCGTAGGTTCTATCAAAACGAACTTCAAAAAACTGAAAATGAATAGCTTTCTTGATAAATACGAAAACGATACAACTACAAACTTTCAACTTATCAAATGAGTTAAATATATCACCGTTTTATTATTGTATGAGAGATGAAATAAATAATCCCAAGGATAAGAAAGGTAAATTTTATGCCAAAACAAATATACATACTTCAGATCAAAACGGAGTTCATCAATCTGCTTTATACAAAGACTTTTTAAATAACTTTTATTTCTTCGATTCTTTTGGATTAGAACCAACTGAAGAGATAACGAAACTGACTAATCAACCAATAAAATGTTCTACGTTTCAAATTCAAATGCCGGGTCAAAAATTTGAGGTCAACTTTCACTTTCACACAAGTTTAGGAAATCAGTTTGAAGAAATGGTAATAAATTTAACTTAATAAAACTTGCGAACAAGTTTGGATTAGGGTCTTTACCTTCAGATACTAAAAAAACCTAACACAACATGGATAAATAATAATAATAATATAATAATAATTTGTCAATGTAGTGGATAAAACTCAGTTACAAAGTTTAAGTTTATTAAGATCTAATTTAGGTGATAAAATATCAAAGCAAAAAATAGACCTTAAACAACTAATAGATAATATTAATCCAGGTATAAGTGAAGACAAATGGCAACAGGAATCAACTGCTCTAGAAACTAAATTTAAAACTGAATTTCAAAAAGAACTAACAAATATTATGATAATATTGATGATAGTGAGATTCACTTTTTCCTGTAAAAGTTAAAATCGATTCAATCTTCTTCTCTCATCCATCTCACTATTTTAACGCTCGTAAGATTTTCGAATTTATCAAAGATGGTGAATATGTTGAAAATAAAGATTTGGAAGTTAACGATGAAAACAACAAGCCTAATTACATGTATGAAATTGAAACAAATAGAAAATATATAGACACCTTTAGAATGCCAATAATACCAGACAATGACAACGATATTCTTTCAATAGGTGATTTTGATATGATATAAGAGACGGTAAGCTCACCATCGATGAACATTATTAGAAATCCAACTCCACAAGAAGTAGAGACAGTACATAATTATACGTTTTTAAGAACATCAGACTTTGAATATTTAAAACTATATTTTGATAATGCTAGTTTTTCATGCCCACAAAAATATTATCCTGATTTATTTACCTCAATTGATGTCCACAAAATTCAACGAGGTAAAGAATTTATAATATTTTTATCAATAATTGAACGTCATGAACGTCATAGCCCTAGAGAAGGTGGTGGTATATATACTTGTAGATGGAATATACACAAACTAAAGTTTTTAGAAGTTTTTTGAATAATGTTAAAAGAAAACCACCAAACAGCGAAGGAATTATATATCCTTATAGTGATAAAGATGAGTATACTTTTGATGAAAACTATGAATTTGATGATTTCGATTACCTTACTATTCAAGAAGAGAATGAAGAACTATTTTTTTCCATAAGGATATTTGATTAGTTTTTTTGTTTTAAATGAAGTTGAATAACAATTTCTTCGTTTCCAAAGTCAAATAAACCTATTTTCACCATCTTTGATTTCCAGATTTATATCTTTAATCATAAAGAATTAAGTGGTAAATATGTTGTTTGACATGGTTTCTCTATAATTCTATATCCAATGGTACAGTGAATGTTGGAATACTGTAAATAATCTTACGTCTGTGTTTATTGAAAAATCCACCGTTTATTAAATTACAGTGAATATTAATGACGTCAATATCATTCTCGATATCAGCTTTATGTGGCGCTAAAGTGGATTGTGTGTACATTTGTTTATCAAATCGCAATAAAGTATTCAAAGAATTTACTACATTGAAATCAACTTGATTAAAATTAATCCATCCCCATCAATAGTTGGTTTGAGTGTTTTTGGTATGGTTCGATCTGGATTTGAAAAATACTGTTTTATATCATCTTAAGTTCTAATTATTATTTCATCATCTTCAATGGGATATTTTATTTGGTGAGGAGAAGGAAGCGGTGGCTGTTGAATTTGTTTAGGTGTGGGGGTTGCTGCTGTTTCTTTTTAATATTGGGTTAAATAAAGTTTGTAGATTTTCTTTTAATCCAAGTTGTTGTAATATGTTTTTTTCAACTTGAGTCTTTATTTTATTCTTAGCTTTGATATATTGTCTGTTTCTGTTTCCAATCACCCATTTTTAAAGAAATAAAATTAACAAATATTTGTCATAACTCTTTCACCTGTAGGGTTTCTAGTATTAACAAATACATATCCATGATCATCTGGGTTTCTCCATTGAGCTTTACAAACCTTTTTAAATGTATCCCTGTCCATTCCGTGATTAATTGACTGAATAATTTGAGATAAATCTTTGTCGTTTAATTCGAATAATAAAAAACAAGTCGCGTTCTTTCTAATAAACATAGCATCCATTCCGTAAAAGGATTGGGATTGGTAAATACAGTGACAGTTCGTGAAGAATTCTCGTTGAACAGCTTGATTTCTTTGTGCTACACAGTCGTCAAACAAGTTCTTTCGCTCACTATCAATTTTAGACAAATCTAAATCATTAATGTTTTTCGTAAGATTGAAAGATGGATTCTTTTCTTTTATATATGTGATTTCTATCTTTTCATTGTCTTCATAATATTTACATATGTCTTGAACGGATTCTTAAAGCTTTGAGGAATTGATAATATGATTGCTCTGGTGTTGTTGTGTAGACATATAGTGAATCGAAATCTAAAAGTTTTGGTGTTGTCAACCTGTTAAAGGTCAAATAAGTTTTTCCCGAACCTGAACTTCCGCATATGCATAAAAGCATTGGATTACTAGGAAATATTTCTGAATGATCCAGAACGTATGTTTTTAAAAACTATGGCATTACCCTTGTGTTTGACTTTCATTTCTCCGGTGTGGATTTTATCTATTAGATTACTTAATCCCTCTTGGTTTCTTCACTTAATCGATTTCCAAATTCTTTAACTGTTCCTAATATATCTGCTACTCCTGGACCTTGTGCTATCTTTTCCATTTCCATATTATGTCTATGATTTTCACTTTTTTCAGCATCAGCTGCTTTCTTGGCGTTGACAGCTTGTGCTACACCAGCAGCTTCACCAGCAGTTGCGCCAGCTGCGGTCAGGCCAGCAAATATCAAAGGTGGGAAAGGTAAAAATCCACCTTCCTTTACACTCTTGTCAATTCTTTCCAAATCTATATCATCTCGGACTTTACGATGCTTATATTTATCGATAAGTTTTTTTTTTATATATTTTGATCTGTTTACCATTGTAAGTTATTGTAGTTGATGATTCCATTTCGATTGCTTCTATTATTCGTTTTACTAATGTTTCTGGCTTCATTTTGAAGAGGATAATTTAAATGATTATTCTATACAAATCATCCGTCTGTCGGATATTTTAATTATATGTTTTGCTTCTTCCAATAATAAACAATAACCGTTTACATCTCCTTGTGTTTTTTCGATATGGATATTTATATTAACTCCTGTTTTGAAAAGATCTTCTTGATGAGCTGATAGATCAAAACAGAAGATTTGGATGCAAAATCTACATATTCAAACTGAGGTGGATTTCCAAATAATTCACACATATTTTTATAGTTTCTATACAATTCTTTATAATCCTTCGTGGATGGATTAATTGTTAAAGGTTGGTTAGGATAATTATCATTGTTTAATCTTACTTAAACTTTACGGATTATAGGATCTTGAGTTTGGTTCATTGCTACTCTAAAGATATTATTGTTATTCGTTTGAGAATCTGGTAAGTTCTTGAACCCAACCATTAAATATCTTGCTGGTTTAATAGTGTAAGTGATTGGCCATGTAGTGGATTCTCCAGTTAAAGTCATACTACCTACCGTGTTACGACGAAGAAAAGCTATTTCAATATCTTTAGTCATAGCGTTTAATGTTCTCGTTTCTACTTCTATGGATGGTGTTATTACGGTATGAAAAGTTGGAGATTCGTTATTTCTAATTTTGCTTTTGAATCATTCTCCCAAAAGAATATCTTATCGTCATTAACTTCTCTTTGTAGATGAATTTTATATGGTAATCCTATGGAAACTTTTCTGTGTTCCAACAGACCGAATAAAGGGTATAATTTCCAGTTTACGTAATTACCCCACCTATTATTCTCAACAACATTATTATACTGATTTACTCGAATCCATAATTTACTAGCTACTCTTTCTAATGTGTTTCGAACAACGACTCTTACTCTAGCTTCATTTGCGTCAGCAGCAAGAGTTCTTACTGGTTCTTTTAAAACACTTCCATCACCAACATCGGGTATCCATCCGGAAACAGAATCGTAGTTTTTGGGATATAGAACTGTTTTCAACATTGTGTCAAATTCTCCGGGATGTTTGATGGTTTCTATCAAGGGGATTTGAACCAGCTTCCAAAACCATTTCAGTAAATAAAGATGGGAAGAAATTGTCTTCAAATTTGTGTTTCTGTGATGAATTACTAGTGAATTCTATGTTGACCTATATAGTCAACAATTGCGTATTTACTTCCTCCTGTGATATGTAGTCTCTACATATCATCTCCAAATCACTACAGATTCATTTTTTTTAATAGTTCAAGATATCGGACAAAGGAATCTATCTTCAAATTTGTGTTTCTGTGATGAATTACTAGTGAATTCTATGTTGACCTATATAGTCAACAATTGCGTATTTACCTCCTTGTGTGATACTCCAATTTACTACAGATTCATTATATCATTCTCATAATATCATGTGAAGTTCTAACCAGATATAAAATTCTGTATGAATTCCAATCTCATAATATTTGGAGTTCTAACCAGATATAAAATTCTGCATGAATTCCAAATTATTTAATCATATAATCATATCTGTAGTGATAAAACCCTTCTGTTAATTCTACTACCACTATAGATTCATTTATCATAATATGAAATGGAAGGTATTTACAAAAAACAACAGTTATCCTTCTGTTTATTCTACAGAATTTTCGATTACTTTTCGATCTCTGAAGAATTGGCCAAGAAAAAGGAAATGAAAGTTGAATACTAGAAACTATGATAAATTGATATTCAGCGTCATCAAGTAACGCGACAGAAGAGAGGACAACCTAAAAAAGGTGCCGTCGGGCTTGATATGTGGGGTGGGGAGGGGGTGTTTTGATACGGTATTGTTGACTTTATAGGTTTTAACATGGACACTCAGTCGATCATCTAAGAAACATACAAGACCTTCGAATACTCTTCGATTAGTAGAATTACTACCAAAAGGACATTAAGTTCAATATCTAATTGGAGGTGATCACAAGTAAGAAAAATATGGTTTTTGTTGACTTTATAGGTTTAACATGGACTCTTAGTCAATCATCTCAGAAACATTAAATTTGGAGAGACATTTCCATGTTTGATCATTTTAAACTGTTGAATTTCTTTATCTGTAGTGATAAAATTTCATGCACCCTTGTTAATTCTCTGAAACTTTCGAATATACTTTTAGCTCTGAGAACTGACCTTAAAGGGGTATACATGAAATGAAGGTATTGAATATCCCTTCTGTTTATTCTACAAGACTATCGAATACTTTTCGATTAGTAGAATTACCACCAAAAAAAGGGCATTAAGTTCAATACCTAATTGGAGGTGGTAATAGATGAATTGATCACAGGAAGAAAAAAAATATGGTTTTGTTGACTTTATAGGTTAAAATGGACACTCACTCGATCATCTCAGAAACATTTAATTTGTAGAAACGTTTCCAATGTTTGATCATTTTGAACCATTGAATTTCTTTTTCAGTTGTTCCCATGATTTCCTTCTACAGAAAGAATAATTGATAGAAAAAACATTCCACAGCCCTATTGTGCGAATGTGCCGGAAATGCGCACTATCGGAACGTTCATATACTACTACGGATATAGTGATAGAAATGTACATTAGCATTGACGAGCGACACCAAGTTTCGTCAAAATCCATCAAGAATTGTGCCTTCTAGAGTGTTTACAAGCTAAAATTGAACGCGTTTTCAAGAACAAGGGCAATAACTTATACTAAATATTTTTCAATTTTTCTGATTTTCGATAGGGTTTATCCTTGGCCGATAACAAACACTCATACCAAAATCCATCATGAATTGCATAAATCATAAATGAGTGTTTACGAGCGTTTCAAGAATAAGGGCAATAACTCATAGTAAATATTTTTCGATTCGTCTGATTTTCGATAGGGTTCATCCTTGGGTGATTACAAACAACCATACCAAGTTTCATCGAAATCAGTCAAGAATTGTGCCTTGTAGAGTGTTTACGAGCAATTGTGGACGGACGGACGGACAGACGGACGGACCGACGGGAAGAGGTGACGGCAATACACGCACCCCATTTCATGTGGGCGTATAAAAATGTATGTTTATTTCTTCAATAAAATAAATGCCATTTTTAAGTGTACTTTACTACAATGATTCTGCCTATTTATTGAAATTTGGGTAAAAATATACAAAGGATTGTTTTTTCGCTATGTTTCTAAAGTATTAGTCTTGATTATCTGTTTGTACGGTAGCCTCTTTCTACCTACCCTTTTGTATTTTTGTATGTCTATTTTTGACTAATATTTGGTCTAGATTTGGAATTTGATGTCTGAAATTACATTTTCGTTCAGATTTTGTAAGATTTTGAGAGAATTTCACGCGGAAGGATAATTCTAAAAATAGTCGTTAAGCGCCGATGTTGATAAAATATCTGTTTTCAGTTTGCCCAGCTCAAGATTTTCATGGTCCACAAACTAAGTATTTGCTAGTCTTTCATGTAACATATTGGAAACTTGCATTAGCGAACATATAATATACCTAAATGGAATAGTGGCGTATTCATTTACATACGCAAAAAGACGACCAGAACTTACGAACATTTATAAATAAAGCGCGCAATAAATTCGCACTGACTTCAGTGGCCGACCAATAATTTATGTGGCTATAGTGGATACACTAATATTTTCGGAATGAGTTTGCATTAGCACGTTAGCTAAATTAGCTAACATTTACTGCTGTATACAAGAGTAGACTAAAAATCAATATCGAATTTCATATAGGCCTACCGTACTTGCTGAGATACTTTATTTATAATATATATAAGTTAATGGAGCAGTAATATATGGTGCTGACATTTCAAATTTTCGGACTAAAGTCCTCAAATCCAGTAGCTTTAGTCACATGCATCTGTTTCTATCAATAGTCGACTCTCTCTATAATAGTATATATATACAAATACAAATAATTAGTAATTACCATCGACAAATATGTGGTCTTTTGTGACCCCCTTGAATTTTCACCAAATATTTGGGAGCACTAGTTTCCGTTAGGCCGACTAAGTAGTATAAGACCTTTCAATATGTTCGCAAGGGGATTCCCCCTTCCATTTCATTTCATGGGGAAAGTCCCAAAAAAGACCTACACACCCTACATTCCATAAATTCCTACCCCAAAAAAGACCTACACACCCTACATTCCATAAATTCCCACCCCAAAAAAAGACCTAAACACCCTATATTCCATAAATTCCTACCCCCCAAAAAGTCCTCCACACCATACATTCCATAAATTCCCACTCCAAAAAAGTCCTACACACCCTACATTCCATCAATTCACACCCCAAAAAGACCTATTTACCCTACATTTTTGGGTTTGGAAAACAGACCATAATTTCTACTCAAATTTTAAACCTTAAAAATGGCAAATAAAAATTACATACTAGATCCAATCTTTAGATTATACGATCCGATTCGTTATTCATTTAACAAGAAAAAATAGGATTATATTATCATCTCACCCACTGTTGGTTCTAAATCCCAGTTGAATGATGGTGGTAGAATTACCTTCGAAATAAATTCATTATCAAATTGGTTACTTCTTTCCGATGCTTATTTCAGATGCGATTTCAAAATAAAAGATGGAAAATGGTTGGTTTCAAGAACTTACCAGACTTACAGACGAATAACAATAATGTCTTCAGAGTGACAATGAACCAAAATCAAGATCCTATAATCCATAAAGTTCAAGTAAGATTAAACAACGATAATTATCCTAACCAACCATTAACAATTAATCCATCCACAAAGGATTATAATGAATTGTATAGAAACTATAAAAATATGTGTGAATTATTTGGAAATCCACCTCAGTTTGAATATGTAGATTTTGCAATTAATCACCCAATCTTCTGTTTTGATCTGTCAGCTCATCAAGAAGATCTTTTCAAAACAGGGGTAAACATAAATATTCACATCGATAAAACACAAGGAGATGCGACCGGCTACTGTTTATTGCTGGAAGAAGCAAAACATTTGATTAAAATATCAGATAGAAGAATGATAAGAATTGAATAAAAAAACACCCTTTAAAAAATGAAACCAGAAACTTTAGTCAAGAAAATAATAGAAGCTATGGAAACGAATTCGCCGACTCTAATAACTTACAGCGGTAAAAAAGTGCACATAACCCAAAAGATTATCGATAAATACAAACATTGCAAAGTCAGAGACGATATAGACTTGGAAAGAATTGATGAGAATTTAACTAAAAAAGGTGGATTTTTACCTTTCTTACCTTTAATCTTTGCTGGTTTAGTTGCAGCTGGTGCAACTGCTGGTGGAGCTGCTGGGATAGCCAAAGGTGTCAACGAAAAGAAAGCTGAAGCCGCTGCAAACGCCGAAGCACGTAGACACAATTTGGCAATGGAAAGAGAAGCACGAGGAGGTTCGGGAGTAGGAGATATATTAGGGACGGTTAAAGAATTCGGACAAAGATTTGGCGAAGAAACCAAGAAAACCGTTAAAGAGGGATCAAGCAAATTAATAGATAAAATCGACACCGGAGAAATGAAGGTCAAACACAAGGGCGACGCCATATTTTTTAAAAACATACGTTCGGGCGAGGGAATCTTCCTTTTAAAGTATAAAGGCAACGGGGTGATTTTTGGTACGAAAATGTAATAAATAAAAATGGGCAAAAAATTTAATCATTCAGAAATATTTCCTAATAACCCAATGCTCATGTGTATATGCGGTAGTTCCGGTTCTGGGAAAACTCATCTCACTTTTAACATGTTGACAACACCAAACCTTTTAGATTTCGTTTCTCTGTATATCTACACAACAACACCAGAGCAATCGTATTATCAATTCCTCAAAGCTTTGGAATATTTACCAAAGAAAGATGTTCAAGACATATTTCAATATTACGAAGAAAACGAAGAAGAAGTGGAAATAAAAGATATCATAGAAAACTTCATTAAATCAAAGAATCCATCTTTCAATCCAACGGATATAAAAGTTTTTCTTACGAAAAATGTTAATGATCTAGACTTGTCTAATATTGATAGCAATCGAAAGAACTTAATATTGTTTGACGACTGCGTAGCGCAAAGAAATCAAACTGTTCAACAAAAATTCTTCACCAAAGGAAGACATCACAACTGTCACTGCATATACCAATCCCAATCTTTTTACGGGATAGATTCTATGTTCATTAGAAAAAATGCAAATTGTTTTTTATTATTTGAATTAAACGATAAAGATTTATCTCAAATCATTCAGTCTATAAATCACGGAATGGACAGAGATACATTTAAAAAGGTTTGTAAAGCTCAATGGAGAAACCCAGATGATCATGGATATGTATTTGTAAATACTAGAAAACCTGCGGGAGAAAGAGTTATGATCGATATATGTTAATTTTATTTTTTTAAAAATGACGGATTGGAATAATTTTTTAAAAAGAAATAGAGAATATATCAAAGCTAAGAATAAAATAAAGACCCAAGTTGAAAATAACAGATTACAACAATTCGGATTAACGGAAAATCTACAGACTCTATTTCAACCCATATTAAAATCTCAAGAGGATATTAAAAAGAAATTAGCTTTAGAACCCACACCTCATATAGAACCCAAACCGATTGAATATAATGGTATTATAATTAGGACATTAGATGATATAAAACGTCTTTTTTCAAACCCTGACCCAGATTTACCAAAGAGCATTTCACCAATCGTTGATAATCAAGGTTTATTGTTTAATGGGTTTAGAATAATATTTAGTCCAAATTCTCCTTTATTCAAAATCGACACAAAAGACTTTATATTTACATTAACGAGAGGGTTAATAGATTTAATGAATGGCAAGGATGTTGAAATTGCCGATTACAAGGATTTAGTTGCATACTCAAAATTTCTACATGCAATAAGAAAGTCAGGACCCGAAACAAGAAGATTGAAAGAAGTTGATTTTTATATAACAAAAGTTATTGAGGAAGAGGAGGTAGATGATTATGCAGAAGATTATCCACCAAGCATACAAGAAATAGACGAATTCGATGATATGGTGGCATCTGGACAAGGTATAACGTTTTTATCCGACGACAATAAAGAATTGCTTAATAGATTAGAAATAATATTAGCGGCCATGAAAGAAGGTCATCGATCGGACAGACAATACAACGAAGTCAATGCCATATTAAAACGGCTTTTGGAGAAAGAAATCATCACTAAAAAAGACTATATAAACGTCATTAAAAATGTCCAATAAAGAACAATTGTTCGTTATCACCTCGAATAAACCAGACATCAAATTGTTTCTAGACTACGAGTATGAACTCGATCGCAATAAACAGTACGAACTGGGATTAAAGTATTTCTCCGTTTACAATTCCATTAGAAACATCAACGAAAAAAACAATCAACTAAAAATATCGACGGATAACGGAGTTACGTTCGAAACCATAAGCTTACTACCGGGGAGCTACGAATACGTAGCCATCAACGATTACCTATCCGAATACGCAGGAAGCGTGAACGGTAAAAACAATATCGAATTCGAAGGTAATCTGAATCTGAACAAAATAAAACTGATATTGAGAAATAACAGTCAAGTCGATTTCAACGTAGAAAATTCGTTGAATGCGTTACTAGGGTTCGATAAACGAATATACGTGCAATCGACATTGGCGCCGCACAAGGCCAACATCGAGAACGATATCGATGTGATCAACATTCACTGTAATTTGATCAACGGTGGATTTTCAACAAGCACAAACGCCAAATCATATACAGCATACCGACTTTTACGGTACTGATCGGATACAGAATTATAGAGAAACCGTTTCAAACGACCTATTTACCAGTCAATTCTTTCATGATCAAAGATATAAATCTGGAAATCAAAGACGGTAAAAACAGGTTCATAGACTTTGGCAACGAAGAAATTGTCATTCAACTTCATTTAAAACAATCTTCATTCTCTTCTTGATTAGAAAGATAATCGAAATCATCAAATTCATAGTTTTCGTCAAAACTATACTCATCTTCGTCATTGTAAGGATACATAATTCCTTCACTGTTTGGTGGTTTTCTTTTAACATTATTCAAATAACTTCTAAAAACTTTAGTTTGTTTATCATTTGGAATAACTACTCCATTGGTGAAACTTTTTTCCCATGGTTTATTAAATTCGTTCGACACATCATGTCCGCTTGCTAACTGAACGTAATCTTCTACACTTATCTTATCATTAGAATAACCTTTAAACGTTTTCTTTTCTTTTAAAACACCATCAGAAGTCAAAACGATGTTGTATTTGACTTTTGGTGCTAAATATAAACCAAATATAATTCCACCGTCACCGTAATCGTTTTTACCTTTGCAATAGTCTTTTTCGGAGACCAAACCAGCTCTGTTTAGTTTTTTCCAATTTTTGGATGAAATGTACAAACTATCGGTGTCGGTATAGTATATTTCGGGTTTATAAAATCCATTTATGACCTGAATGAAATTGTTCATTATTTTTTTACTGTGAGATAAAACGAATGATCCCAAATGACTAGGTGTTAGTCGTGTAGATTTACTGTCTTCGTTAGTAATCTCTTTTTCTTCAATTTCTGTTTCAACAATATATTGAGTATCATTAATTTTCTCATAGGTTTTAACGCGTGAATCAAAGTTGGCCTGTAAAGTTGCTTCATTCCATAAATGTCTAGTTGTGAATATATCTTTCTGAATTGATTTACCATACAAGGAATTACCTAATAATTTCATGCAGTTACTACCCACGATATTACCTTCTCGTTTATATTTATTTCTTAAATCTCTCAAAATTAAAATATAATCTCTATAGGGTGGAGTTTTAAAATTTTCTTCGTAAACTATACCATCTAATATTCTAATAATTCGTCCACCGGCTTTCACTATTTCTTGAATATCGACCGATGTTAAAACGTCGTGACAGAAACCATTTCTGAACCTGATTTTGTTACCAGTTTCCTTTTTACCTTCTTTATTCGTGAAAGTGATTTTATCTTTAGCTGGTATCGGTTGGAAGAACATGTTTTTGGGATAGTCAAACCACACTGTTAAAATAGCTGTTCTAGGTCTGAATTTTTGTTTATTGAAGAGTTTAC